GGGGGCGGCGGGGGGGGGGGGGGGGGGGCAGCCCAGGCGCTCCTGGCGGCTTTGCTCCCGGTGCCTCTGGTCTGCTGGGGTCCATCTCCAGCAGACCAGGGACACCGGGAGCAAAGGAGGCGGAGGGGCGCTGGGGTATAAGATGAAACCCTATCTTTTAATTAAAAAGATAGGGGGTCGTCTTATACACCCAGTCGCCCTATACGCCGGAAAATACGGTAGTTCGAATTAACTAAGTTAGTTCGAATTAGTGCTGTAGTGTAGACATACCCTTAGTGATGAACACCTTGAGAATCTTCACTTGCAAGGCTGAATGTGGCCTTAACACAAACAAAAGGAAAATATATATTTTTTTGAAGAATGTTGCATATTGTGGTTATTGATAAAGCTGGTTTGCATGAATCACAAGATAAAGCTGAAGGACTCCTCCTCCAAGCAACTTCAAAACATGTCGGCTACATCTAGACTGGCATTATTTTCCGCAAATGCTTTAACGGAAAAGTTTTTCCGTTAAAAGCATTTGTGGAAAAGAGCGTCTAGATTGGCACGGACGCTTTTCCGCAAAAGCACTTTTTGCGGAAAAGCGTCTGTGCCAATCTAGATGCGGTTTTGCGCAAGAAAGCCCCGATTGCCATTTTCGCGATCAGGGCTTTTTTGCGCAAAACAATAATGCGTTGTCTACACTGGCCCTCTTGCGCAAAAGCATTTGCGCAAGAGGGCTTTTGCCCGAATGGGAGCAGCATAGCATTTCCGCAAGAACACTGACAATCTTCCATGAGATCGTCAGTGTTCTTGCGGAAATTCAAGTGGCCAGTGTAGACAGCTGGCAAGTTTTTCCACAAAAGCACGTGCTTTTGCGAAAAAACTTGCCAGTCTAGACGCAGCTGTCATGATTATGTTCCTTCCTGGGAATGATTACCTATTACAACAGGCCCTTGCCTGCCACAGTAACAGCATTATATTCTCTGAATGAACTGTTTCATAGTGGGCAGAAATGGCATTGGTCTATGCTGAACTAAGGCTTTTGATGAGGCCAATTGAATAAGCTATTAGCATCTGAAAGGGTTTTACATAGCACTATGTATCTTTGCCTGTAACATTAGCTTGTTACAATCGCCAATATGGAACAAGAGCAAATAGTTTCATGTGATAGAAATTGTACAGAAATTGCTTCTCAAACTTTTAACTTCTATCAAATGTAACTTTCCTGAATGTGATAGAGAAGCTCTGGATTTTTTCTGGGGAGTTAAAAAGCTTCACCAGTATCTGCATAGGAAACATTTTACACTAGGCACAGAATAACTGCTGCTTTAAATGTTTGCTTATCATTTAGCAAGCTTGCTTATCAGAGCTACCATTGGCAATAGCAGTTAAGGATACTGAAATGGAACCAGAAACAATAGATATAACTTCTGTGGTACAAACTGAGCCCTTGGCAGTGATAAAAGCCAGGGTGCAATGTGAAACAAAAAATGATTCAGTGCTCACTAAAATATATGATATTACAATGAATGAATGCACTTTGGCTTACAAACAACTCTTCCCAGCTTTCTTCCCTTAAAAAGAACAGTAAAGTGTATGTTATGGTTAAGGGTGTGGCACCAGAATGGTGATTTCTAGGAATCTGGGGGCTTCCCAGAATTACCTAAAAGCCATTTGGGAATTCCACAGATGTTGCTGGACCAGAGAACTCTAGCACAATGATTGCTGGCTACTAGGAGCAGAGCTGGCTAGAGGGCCCAACGGGGCAGCGGAGCCCATGGTGCACCAGAACCTGCAGGTGGCTGGGCTGGGCAGCTAGTGGGGGTGCCAGATCCCGTGGGGGAGGGGGACAGGGAGTGGCAAGCAGAGCTCACAGCAGGCCAGGCCAAGCCTGCAGACGTGAAGGGGTGGGCTACAGCCTGCAGACGTGAAGGGGTGGGCTACAGTGCCGACAGCTGGAGGGGCCTGTGAATGGTGGCAAGGCCACGAGCATCTGCAGGGCTGCTGCCTGAGTTCGTGGGGCCCACAGGACTGCCACAGCCAGGAGGCTGAGGGCATTGGTGCCAGGTAGCTGGGGAGAAGAGTCCAATGGAGAGGCTGGTGTGTCCCCCCCAACCTTCCTTAGTCTGGAAAACTCCCTAGTCTGGGATCAGTCAGGTCTCGAGGGAGCTGGGCCAGGGAGGTCCAAACTGCACACAAATAGAGAAAATGGTGAAAACTAGTAGATTGCCAGTACATGCCTAAACATGCTCTTTTGCATCCTATGCAATGGCTATGAATCCACACAGCCAAGGCTAGACAAATTTTGGGGTGTGTCTATGATTGCAACAAATGCCCATTCTAAATGTCCTGATGTCTTTGTTATGAATTCAGCTAGATCAGCATAGATGATGTAAGTGTTAAGACTATTGTTTTCATGTCCTGGAGTTAATGAACAGACTGAGACAATGGAATGAAATTCACATCTAAAGAGTTTCAATTGTTTGCCAAAAGAAATGGTATCAAATGTATTATATCAGCTCCTTGTCAACCTATCACAAATGGATTACTAGAAAGGCTTATCTAGAATATTCAATCAAGAGATCTGTGCCCTGGCTTGGATAAAAGTAGCTAACAACACAAGACTGTGATTTTCTTAGGTTGGCCTATAGGAATGTAATATTTGCAAGTACAAAGCAGATACCAGCGATGTTTATGAATTATGGTCTTGCTTGAACTTGTTAAAGTCTTATCTACAATGTAATGTTCTTAAGAAACATCTAATAGCCTCAAATAGTCACACCTAACTGTACAGTTTCATATGGGAGAAAACATCTTAGCAAGAGTTACTGGAGAAAAGTCATGGAAACTTAGAGTGGTTACATGTCATTCCAGGGATAAGCCTATAGGGCAGTGGTCCCCCACCTTTTGAGGCAGCTGGGTGCCCGGGGCCGCACATGCGCCGTTTGGGGGCAGGGCCATGCATGTGCCGCACGCCCAGGATAGGGGACGGGGCCCGGGGCGCAAGAATGGCTTGGCCATGCTGTGATCATTTGGCAGGTGTACATAAATGCCCTGGCAGGCGCCATGGCACCCACAGGCACCGCATTGGGGACCACTGCTATTAGGGAATGGGACAGAGATGGAGGAGAAAAGATACAAGGCTCTAGACTAGAGCTTTAAACATACTTTACCTTTTAGCAATCTGGCACTCTCATTTTCCAGAATGAACTTTTTCATTTAAGGTGCTAATATAGTGAATTAAGGTGTTTCAAGTTAGTGTATGCTGCCCATAGATCTTATTTTGTTAAACATGTGGACCTTGGTGTTTAATTAAGCTTTTTATTATACACTGGTGTATTGTTTCAAATAGCAGCTCAAAGCGCAGGATAGACCTTTCAGTAGCAGGAGGATCCACATAGTGACTTGGTGCTTGACTAGGGTTGCCAGGTGGTGTCAACAAAAATACCAGACACACTTGACATTACGTCACAATCTACATTACATCTTATTTAGAAAATACCGGACATTTCTATTTTCTCAATGTGTTTCCCGAACAGAAAGCTCAAATACTGGACTGTCCGATTCAAAACTGGACACCTGGCAACCCTGTGCTTGACAGGCTGGCGTGCTGTATCTTCACACCCCTGGCTTGCCTTGCAATAAGTCTCCAAGCCTGAAAAAAGGCAAAGGGATATAAAAAAAACTCATCAAGTAAGGTTAAATAGCACTCATGCTATGGCAGTTCTCAAACCCAGTGACCCAAGCATGCTATTAAAAGAAGGGCTAGTTTTGCATGCAGAACTGCTCAACAGTATCTTCATTACCCATAAAAGACAGGAAAGTGGAAATACATTTAATGTAATCTCTAGCAAACAGATTATCCAATCCCACCCAGTTTGTACTGAACCTTCTACAGCCAATTTAAGTCAGCATTGTGCAATATGGGTTAGAAAAAATTGAAAATACTGTACACTATAAAAGTGACCCACCAGGAGAAAACACTTTCTCAAAAATACACACTTTGGTCTAGAATATTACAAATAATTCCAACATAGCTAATCAGTGCTCATAATTCTCTGTCCCTAGGATATGGGGATTTAACAAAAAACAGTAGTAGTGTCTTAAATCTCAGCCCTGCAAACACTTACGTAACGTATGTGCTTAAACTGTAATCACTGGATAATCTTATTTACTTAAACGACTTGTGCTTAAAATTAGAATCACGCTCACTAAATTAGGTCTAAAATGGAGCTTTACCTTTACTGATAAATTAACTTCTTTAATTTACAGAAGTTGTGGGTGAAGGCTTGGATGTTGCAGCAGCTTCTACTCATGAGGACAACGTAGACAGTATTCAAGAAGGAACAGCCACAGCAGCTCAAGAGATGCTGGACACATCTTCAAGGAATCAAAAGGCTGTTGCTGATGAGTCTTGGCAGGATTCAGAAGGTGCAGAGTATAGCCTAATCCAAAATGTTTTACTTGTAAAACAAAGTAATACCTATGTGTTTTGGATCGGCTGCATCATTGTCTAGAAAAATTAAGCAGAGCTATATGTATGTTAACTAATATATCACATTTTAAAATGTCTTTTGTAGATCAAGAATTTAATATTTATTTAATTCATCACCAAACATTGAAAATGGCTTTTATTAAACTTTGGCTAATAAGTTAAACCCACAGAGCTTTTGGGAGGTAGCATATTGCAATTGCTTCATGATGGGTAGCAAAATTATTTGATGGAAAAGTTAGTGCCTAAAGAAAACTTCCTCTTTTGTCACACGATATAAGCTTTAGCCTAACTGAATTTGAAAGGAGGAATCTTCTCATATGAAGCTGACAAAAAGACCAATATGCAGACGTGGTATTTTATACCACACAGAATCAATGCAATGTTTAATACAATTATGGTACCCCATTTTCTCATTTGTTTTAACCAGTACTACGATAGAACTGAACTACAGGTTGGACCTCACTTGTCCGGCACCCTCGGGACCTAAGCGGTCCTGGATGAAGGATTTTGCCAGACCAGGGAAGGTCCCCTGCCTCTGGCCCCCTCAGCCTGCTGCCGTTCCCTGTTGCCAACTCCTTCGGCCCCGTTGCTGGTCAGGCAATATGGCTATCTTGA